AATTAACCGGAGCCTCCAGAACAGCCGACCATTACCGCCGCAAACATACTTCTTATAAAGGGATGTAACTCTTCCAGCACTGGGTGGCAACGAAGATCAAAATAGCATTTTATCCAACGTGAAAACTTTAACAACACACTGTTCGGCTTGGAATTTGAATCTGTCCCATTACAATCTGAATGTGTTATCAATTAAATACGTCTATCATTTGGTTACTTTACAAACTGTTTTACACATAGATACATTTCGCGTCTTTATTGGTGACAGGTCAGATACGCATTGGGATATCTGCCTAAATCTGGCACATTCTGAATAAGAAATGTATCGTCTGTACAACGTTGAACACACTTCAATTCATTCTTTTTTTTGTCAAGGAATTAGCAAAATGTTTGATCAAACGATCATTTAGAAACAAAACGGAATGATAATAAAACTATTTTATACCACCACCGCAATATGTGCAGGTAACGAAATCTGGTGACTGAAGGTGACAAGCCTGTGTTTGTTTTGATTACTGCAAATACTTTCAGTACAGTATTTATCTGGTACAGTATAAAACTATCGTGATTCGTCTGTGTGATGTAGAACCCCCGGTGTAGAGTGGGTGCCCAATAATCATTTGGTGATCCTAACATTCTATTGAAATGGGCCGGGTGGTCAGGCTGTGACTTGGCAGAATCGCGTCGTCGTGCCACGATGGCGTGGATCGTTGGTCATGATGGTACTTTCAGTCACAGGTTTGCTTGGTCAACATCATGAGTGGAGTATTACAGGCCGCCTGATGTTGCTGTAATGCTGCTGGCGATATTCACACACTCTAAGTACAGACGGCCTAACCCCAGCCTTCGTACAGTATCAAGATTTAGTTCAACGTTATTAGATGGAGAGAATGTCCATTCACCTCTTTCAGAGTTACTGGGTGTTTAGATGGGAAAGCGATTCATAGAAATAGATGTACATAGCCTGAGATTTTCTCCTTCTATAACAAACCATCATTATCATATTGATTTCATTGTAGAGAAGTCATTCATGTTCGTATTCTGCTTGGTGGGGCATTCACAGCTACATTGCTTAATCAGCTGTGCACCATTAACATTATCGGCACATATATCAGAGGCTGTAGTCTCATTTCATCTCAACTATGAATTTCTTCGAACCTCCAACATACTTGATTAAACTGATTTTATCACCACACCAGCTACCTTTAGCGACTCCAGACAAACGCTGTCCATAAAGATTGTCATATTAATTTGAAAGAATCGATTAAAATGAGGATTGGGTGGTTATAGTGTGTGTCTGATTACATGTTTGTGTCATCGTACCTTTGTTTCCAATCTAGCAACCTTTGATTTGCCTGAACACTCTGGATTATGTACAGATCGCCGAGATATTGCTAGAATATATATGATTAGGCTGGAACAACATTCACTCATTCACTCATACTTGACGTCATTATGACGTGTTTATTATCATGGTGTAGATCGCACACCTTTGTAAGCATGTTGGTAGCCCGGGCAAAGTTAATTCAAGTCATTCCAAATTCAAATTGTTTGTAACTTTTACGATGTAAATAAATCAAGCAATTGACGAGTAGCATAATTACACCTACATGGTGTCTCAATACGACTCTAGCCGTCATATAGCTGAAAAAGTGCCTAGTGCGGCGTTAAACAACAAACAAACTCAATACGACTCGAGTCGCTAGTTACAACGTCTAGAAATATATACCCTGAACACCACATCATTAAGAATAGTGCCCCTTTAAGTCAAGATACATACATGTGCTATCAAATGTTTTTTTATTCTCTGAAAATTTTGCAAGGGATACTATTTAAGTGAGGCTGAGTGAACGTGAAAGTGTAAGAGTTATCCAGTGAAGACGTTTAAGCGATCGTAGTTGATGTTACCTGAAAGTAAATATTCCCGGTTGAATGTTATCACAGTGTATTCACAGGACATGTATGCAGAAATGATGTGAGCATGGTTCTGTCACAACACATCGCAGTGTGGCGTACTACACATCCCGTTCAGCTATAGTTCAGAACTCTTCTACTTGCTGGTCTTAGAGGTTTGTTATCGTGATGGCGTTTTGAGGACAGTCGTGGTACTATTTGCACGCAGGATTTGTCGTCAACATGCCCATATCTAGACGAGTTGTTCGATTGTCGCAATCGGTATTAACATTCACTTTCAAAGTCACATGATTGATTATACATAGCTGTTAAACATACCGGTCATGGCCATTAAGTCATGCAATCCCTTTTTCCCTGAAGTAGATGATATAGCTACACAATGGTATTGGAGATAACAATCACTCCAAAGATTTATATAAGCGTAAGATGATAATCGGATATAATAATTATTGGTTTGAGTGTTAGTCCGATACGCCTCTCTGTGACGTTACTATAATACAACTGGTAGCGTCGTTCAGCCTCACTCACGCACCACCAGTTCGTACCGACAGTGTCTCACGCTGACAATGTACCCGTTCACCACCCTACACACAATCGTGTATGGACGGCATTGGCAGTGTCTCAGTCCCGACAGTGTCTCACGCTGATAATGTACCCGTTCACCACCCTACACACAATCATGTATAGACGGCATTGGCAGTGTCTCAGTCCCGACAGTGTCTCACGCTGATAATGTACCCGTTCACCACCCTACACACAATCGTGTATAGACGGCATTAGCAGTGTCTCAGTCCCGACAGTGTCTCACGCTGACAATGTACCCGTTCACCACCCTACACACAATCGTGTATAGACGGCATTAGCCATGTCTCAGTCCCGAGAGTGTCTCGCGCTGACAATGTACCCGTTCACCACCCTACACACAATTGTGTATAGACAGCATTAGCAGTGTCTCAGCCAGTGCATAGTGTAACCCGTCCAGTTTACGTTTATTGATTTTCAAAGGTTGTGATGCATGGAGGTATTGACCTGAGTTCACTGCTGTACACCGACGTAAGTCGTGATCAACTCCATAATAATTGCACCATAAATAAGTCACTAGGTTGTTTGTACGCATTGTATTGTTTGGGTACCGCATTTACCGGTATCCAACATGTAATGTAGATAAACAATAAGCGCAATAGTGACATTGTTAAGACAGGAATATGCATTGATTTCTTACACCCTTTCGATATATACGTGGGCAGTTAAGGCGTCTCTCCGTTTCGAAGATCATGCGAATGACGTCAAATCATAGTAAAACACTGTGGTGTGCACTCTTGGAACCCCAGAGTGTTGTATTAGAAAAGTCTATTGGTGTTATGACATTGTACTGTTTCTGTTGTAACTGTTTCAGATAAAAAAATAACGACTAGCATTCTTTTACATTGTTAACCGTAACGTGAATACGGTTCTTAACTTAACTTAAAACGTCAACGCATGAGAATAATAAGCAATTAGTCTCGTATATTTGCCGAATATTGAGCGAAGGGGCAAAAGAGTGATGAAAATTTTATTCCGGATATAATCATACTATCGGGGCCATGTAATCATTTCTATGCGTTATTCAAACATAATGCTAATTGCTGCTACTAGGGGGGGGGGGGGGTATTATTGTCTTGGTATTTCTCGGCTGTCATGGTAACCGTTATACATGTATTACAATCGTGTTCGAGTCAGAGTGACCCTTCCAAGCTTCAGTAAGCTGACGTAGGTTCCACGCGATAACGCAACACCGTTAGATATAACGCTTCCAATTTCGCTACTCCCCTGTTTGAATAAACAGATGGCTTGATAGTCTGGTGTTCTCTTACACATCGCCTGTACATGTGATTCTTATGTTATTTCCTTCTCCAAACTTATGTAGACTGCATATCGGGATAACAATGAGCTTTGGTTGTTAACTTTTCAGGGATAATTTCTCTTACACATTCACTATCAGCATGTACATGCATACGAGTTGACCAAAGGCTTTAACAGGTGTTTCATTTAACACAAGAAAGTAGTGTCTGTCTTTGTTTCACGGACAGCGTGTAATGTCCCTTCTGGGTGACCTCAACCGTGGTGTCCGTCCGTCCCATGGACATTGTGTAATGTCCCTTCTGGGTGACCTCAACTGTAGTGTCCGTCCGTCCCATGGACATTGTGTAATGTCCCTTCTGGGTGACCTCAACTGTAGTGTCCGTCTGTCCCGCTGACATTGTGTCATGTCCCTTCTAAGTGGCCTCAACTGTAGTGTCAGTCCTAATCCCATGGGCATATTATAATGTCCCTTCTGGATGACCTCAACTGTAGTGTCCGTCTGTCCCACTGACATTGTGTCATGTCCCTTCTAGGTGACCTCAACTGTAGTGTCAGTCCTAGTCCAATGGGCATATTGTAATGTCCCTTCTGGATGACCTCAACTGTAGTGTCCGCCCGTCCCATTAACATTGTGTGATGTCCATTCTTGGCGAGCTTCATTGTGTGTGAATCATCTACACTAATCTGGCACTAATACGCATACATAGTCTTTGGGCCAAATATATTGAGTGAATATTCATTTGATATATTTCGTGTGATGTTCATTATTGCCACCGACGTACCCCCGTGGGGATTCTTGATTACAATTATAGGTCCCCAGTAACTAAAAGGATCAGTGGTCAGGTTCTGGTTGATTGCGTGTCATCTTACTCCGACGGCATGGAACAGTGCTCACAATATCAATCCCTACGTTGGTCCGCCTTCACCTAGCAACAAACCAAAAATCAACCTAACAATGTCCTGTAATAAATCATATTTGTGTGATAAAATGTCCTGGTGTCACCCTTTCGCATTATCTAGAACCAGGGACATCTATTTGTTGTGCCTCTTGTCATGTCCAAGAACTGGATCGTGCTTGAATCCAATTTGGAATTGGGTACCCCCAGTTGTGATCGGCTGTCTGTAAAATGTTCACAGTATGATGACTATAAACTATCAACATCAGCATATGCCAGAAAATAACATTATCATAAAGAATAGGGGTGCAATCGCATTTTGAAAAGACAAACAAGCCAACGCTATGAAGTGGGTGAAACTGTTTATATAAATAAGAAGCATTGGAGCAACCAATATAACTTTGCTTTCATATATACATTTTGTTGTAAAATAACTTTCTCAAATATTTAATAAAATATACAACTTTTTGCACAAGATAAACTCACGCAGTGGTGACAATACAAGAAACTATCGTTGTTGGTCATATTGTCGGATGAATGTTTCAAATAAGTACAGCAAATTGTGTCCACCATTTTGACCTTTAACGCAGGAAACGACAAAAGCTCCACATATGGTAAGGATGATGGGAGGAGCTTAAATACAGTCTCGACGTGACTGCGAATGCACAGTAGGACGCGCAACAAGAGGTAAGGTTTGATAACATAACTGCAATGCCCTTTCAGAAGCGTCACAATTTCTGTTATGGAGGTCACTGTCGGAAATGTCACACGGCTAGAATGCTTGACTTGCGTTTTGTTGGTTTAGGCTTTGAAAAAGTGTAATTCAGATTGATACCACACAACGTATCAAACATAATGTCATCTGTTTTCTGTTTCAAATAATTCGGGCGACCCATTACGTTATATATTATTTTAAATGCGACTCAATAGGCAATGGAACATATGACATATATTATTTCAAGATCGTCTTTATTACACTATATATCGAACGTAAACATGTTGTTTCAGGTTGTAATTTTATAAGTAGTTTCCTCGTCCATATGGAGCGATACAGTAGCCCAGTGGTTAGTCGGGTCAGCGATCTGGGTTCGATTCCTAGTATAGCTACAATTTGTCATTCTGAGTGTTTCCCGCGATGTAGGTGCGCTATTGCCAAGTCGCGTTAATTGCACTCACTCACTCACTCACTCCTCGCCCGCCACTGCACGTCTATATAACATATCACAGACATGTTTAAATGTCGTCACATTAATTCGTGAGTTGGTTTTAAGCGCCATTGAACAACATTTCAGTTATAACACGGCGTGTCAGCTTGAGGTGGGAGGAAATACCGCATGATGCAAGTGAGTGAGTGAGTGAGTGAGTGAGTATGGTTTTACGCCGCTTTTAGCAATATTCCAGCAATATCACGGCGGGGGACACCAGAAAGGGGCTTCACACATTGTACCCATGTCGGGAATCGAACCCGGGTCTTCTGCGTGACGAGCGAACGCTTTAACCACTAGGCTACCCGACCGCCCCGCATGATGCAAGTCTTAGACGATTACCACTAAGGTGAAATCCGCGAGCTGACAAACCTAGAAACAGGGCCAATCTGGGATTCGTATCTTTACAGCGGATTTCGGCACCTTAGACGATTTGGTCTGCCATCATAACGTCCAAGGCAGATGGCCAGAACGCGCAGGCTCTGTCTGGTGTACACCTTCAGGAGGAATTCCAATACCTCAAGGTGAACAAACTTGGTTGCGTTCAGCGTCCAAATTCCAAATAGTTCAAATGTCATCAGGTTGAAGTCGCGCAGACATAAAATCTTACCCAAATGTATACGTTACGCTCAGGTAGAAATCTGAAAACAAAATTCCATATTCATCCTTACGTTCATAAAACAATACCTGTAAGATGTTTTTTAGTCATTCTAAATAGCAACTTAGAATTAGACCTTCTACGTGGCCTTAAAAAAAAGTTGGTGGTGTTAAAATTGTTGGCCCGTCACCCCGAAGACATGTGAATACTGGTGTCCTATATATTTCTGGAACAATGCGGCGTTAAATCAAACTCACACTGCACGGGTTTGTATTCAATTAAGGCACTCTCACACATATATAATGCGATTATGGGTAAAGGCAAACGTGCAGTAGTGTTCAGTGGTTCTGGAATGATAGTGTGGTTAATATCCAAATGATTTGGCACATTTGTTATAGACACTTTTCAATATCTGCTAAGGTAGGTTTCCTAACGAACGTTTAAGACAAGTTAACCTGCCATTCACAACCGTATTCATATCTATCACTGTCAGCGGACGTTAGAGGACGTACTGAGCACTCTCAACAGCTCAAACATTACATTATTGCGCGTATATTTGCCATGGACCCACCGACATCTTGACGTCAGTTCTAGTCAAAATATTTCTGAACTGATCGCCAACGTTAAATGTTGCTCATCATTGCATCTTTTTACGTTCATGGGAATACATTTCAAACTGTGGTCTTATTGGTCTAAGCAACAGTCTATTTTATCTGAAACCATGCACCGGTGTCACTGTCATTGGGTCTTGGATGTTTCTTGGGATTATCTCAGAGAAGAGGTACCCATCGCTTTGTCACATTCAATCAGCGTTCAATCTTAAATAAACAAATCACTACTATAAACATCTTCCTCTATTCCTTCTTTCCGTGTTCATATGCTTTCTATGTTCATCAAAACATATCCCATGCATTTCTACAGTCAATACGCCCTCAATTCAATCGAGGATGTCCTGTGTTCCGATAACCATCCACTGCCACAGCCTTGAGAACAATCATCTGATGGTCTTGACATTTCATTGCGGAAGTCAAGCACAGACGAAGACAGTACATGTGCTGCAACAAATGTCGAAAGGACCCAGATACAAATTCAAACGGCTCAGTGGAATCCACTGACTCATTAAGGATCCACTGACGCCGTGAAGAGCATCATTGAGACAACAACAGAGCATGCTGGTCCTCAGGCTCCTATTACCGCTCTGCCTCTGTATCAACTTGCGATGGAGCCTCCTCCTCAAACACTTGGTCATCCTGAGTTTGACTCCACTTCCACAACCTGATGTTCCTCTTCAGGATCTCGTCGTAGGTGGAGTCTCCACCCGTGAGTCCGTCCACGGGGAAGCTGACTGCAGACACGAAGGAGAAGGAACGAGGTCGAAACCTTTGCTTGAGAAGACGTAGAGATGACGTACTGTCTTCGAGTTCACTACCAGAGCTGTACAAGAAATCTTCTTGAGACCCAAGGGTGTCTGAAAAAAAATATGACAATGGAAGTGAAATATTTGACAAGGTAACTCCAGATCCTGTAACATATATGTATTCCAGGAAGCTCTGTCAACGTCATTATGAATAAATAATGTCAACCCAAAATGAACACGTACCCCGGAATAATGGTAAGAATATTACTTTAATTTGAAGTTTTACTGCTGAATAAAGCATTTTACCTGTAACACATCTCGTTTTGTAACAACCCACATGTAGTAGTCCCAGAATCCACACGTGTGCATGAGTATGTCGATGATACACTGGTATATGATACATACCCTGCTCACTGGATGTGGAACTGGTTCTTGAGAGATTCTTCTCCTCAAGACAGAACCTGGGCTCACTTTGCTGTCGCAGCAACGGGGGCTTCCGCACAGGGAGGGTAGAGTAGCCGTTGTGTGAATTGTTGAGCCTGACGTTGCAGGAAGAGGAACCTTCATGAAGTGCACGACGGCCCGAGCTAAGACGCCGGATTGTCTCGTTGATGTGGATGAGCTGCTTGAGAAGCTTCAGATCCTGTTCTCGCATTGCAGTCTGGAACAATAAGACAATAATGTTAGAGTGTACAGGAATATTCGACAATGGTAATGATTCCATATATCAAGGCCATGTCCGATATATAAAATCATACTTATTTAGTATACGTGAACAGGTTTTATTGACATTTAAAAATGGAATCTACAAGTGGCTTGACGGACCATGTAGGTAGTAGTGCCTAAATAACATTATCTCACGTAAAACAAGGAAGTATTGATGAGGATGACTCTCGAAAGCTCCCGTATGTTTAATACATAAGCAAGGTTCCGAGATAGATAGACGTGTTAGTGTAATAGTCAGGCGAATAGTCACTTATTTACTGACCACCTTTCCTAACCAAGTGCGTTCATAGAAAACCATAAGAGGCGATAGACAATAATAGATTTGATGGGTACCCGGTAGGATGACTTGGTATTTTGAATGTGGGGTAATCTGGGCTGATGGTATGTTATGTATTCTGAGCATGCGTCGTATGTAATGAGATAATTACTATCATGATAATGTATATATTGTCTCGAACGTCTCCAAAGTAGTTATCATTTGTTTTATTGTTCAATGTTCTTATGATATATGTAACCACCTAACGTATGATATATGACAGAGTGTGATTTTAATTGCCAGTGACGTCGACACTTAAGTGCATATCATACTTTTTAAAAGGAAAAAGTAATAAACCATCCCCATGCCATTCAATCATAAATCTATTTTACGCGCATTCCTTTGGACGATTGTTATTTTTAACAGCGCAAAGATTTATACCGCCTGTCAGGGGCAATGTCAGAAACAAGTATATTTCAATTACATCGTAAGACAGCTGTTTACGGAGGCCTTTTGCGATATCGTAAATCACCTGTGTGACTGACAGCCGGACACCCCCAGGGCGGGGTGGGGGAAGTACACAAAGCTTTAACTGTCAACATAACATTGTTTTCGGAACATTTCGTTGCTTCTTTCTAATGGATAACCGCCGCCAGTCACCGCAAATCTAAATGACGTCGGTGATAAACACTACATCATTCTATGTCCTTGTACTGATCAATTACCTTGTAAGTATAAGACGCGTGACATGTGTACCCTTTTATTATTCATTTATGAGATCTCGTTTAACATTTAAGGAAACGCATGATACTTTGTAACTGCTGTCCAAGAACATTACATATATCATATATACTATTTAACACATGAAATGCTTGAAAATAAATGAACTTATTTGAAGTTGGCGACGACACGACACATTAGAGATATTCATGTTCGAGTATCTATCACACATAGAGACATAGTTTTTTTGTGTTGAACTACACGAAGAGACATAGTTTTTTTTGTGTTGAACTACACGAAGTAGATATATATATATATATATATATATATATATATACTTTATCCCCTCTCTTCTACAACGTTCTCTGTCTCTCGCTCCCTCTCTCTTATCCGTTCTCTATCTATCTGTCTATCTATCTATCTATCTATCTATATCTTGCGCTCCCTCTGCCTCTTTCATGCAGCGTTATAACAATTTCTGTGAACATGACATTATACTATATATCTCATATCATCAACGACTGGGGACATAAAACTTTTGTTATCTGTAGCATTAACTCCATTTCAGTCTTGGAGATCTGAACAAACATCTTCCATGTCACTGGAGACCTATTGACACAATAACCATCGACTATTCAAGGTCATCTGATGTCAATATTTACATTGTCCAGCTAACATTCCACTGTTTATGATGGTCACCGTGGATTGATATATTGTATGACACCCCCCAAAACCATTACAGATAACAGCGATATCCGCCCAGGGGCACGAATACTGTAGACTGTCACGTCGACACCGCAGCATCCAGCAGGATGGGATGTGCTCCTACATGTAGAATGGGCTGGTACAGTTTATGTACACCAAGTCAAATGTACACCTGTCAGTGAATTGTCCACCCCAAATGGTAGGCTTACTTTATCATCTTAATTTGTTAGGTTTGAGTTTGATTTTAAATGAACTTATATTTGTAATACAGAATACGATTTTGGAAATGGTGGGAACGTGAATTGACGTCGAGAATAAAAAACCTATAGTAGAGTAAGATAGTTTTCCAAAATCAAAACTAAAAAAGTCAATAAACGCAGTATAGAATATCACAAAAAAGAATTCTGAGCAAACAAACCATGTCAAACTCTTCGTAATGTCACTGAGATTTTTTACTACGAGACGCCAAAACATGTACTGTGGTCAAACGATACCAAATTATTTAAGCTTTAAATAAACTTGAAAGCTCATAAAGATTGCAAGATAAAAGAGAGCAGTTTATATCTTAACCAGGTCAGAGCCTGTTTGATGTGTGTATGTGTATCATGCATCGGGTTTAGATCACAATGTTATAGTATATGCGCATGAAACACAGCCACGGGGTTATACATATTTATGAATGTACCGCTCGGGTTCAAGGCGTGCATCAAGTCTTGTTTTTATAATTTATTTACTACCGTCCCGCGCTCATTTACATCATCAATATTTGCACTAGCAGTGAATATTCTTCATGGTTAATGCTATTGACAAAAGTTGGAAATATTCTGATTTAACTCATTAAAGATAGAGGTGTGTTAAACCACACATTGAGTCTGTGATAAGGTCTGTATTTCACAAACATTAAAGAGCACCAGACATATCATATAAGTGTTTTTGAACTGCTTAAGATGACGTGTACTCTTTTCTCAAAGTGGAGAATGTACGATGTTTAACACTCATTGTGTCGGTCACGTCCTTATTATCCTTTCTGTGAGTTTTCAAACCTGTCGCAGACAATTTGCTGAAAAGCTGACTGTTTTATCTAATGAACATAAAACACAAAATATGTAACTTTTGACCCAAAGATGTGTTGCCATTCGATGCTAGATTATAGCATGAACAGCAGCATGTGAGGCACTGAGGTGATGATTCCAAGTTAAAACAAGGAATAAGATCAAACCTTACTGCACATTATATTTTCTCATATTGCAGTCTTAAACCTGTGTGCGGAATACCACTGACAACCAGTCAGATAATCTACGCCTAAATTGTAGAGCTGACACCAGACATGGCCGGGTGTGATAGCATGCATGGTTGAGATGTGGTCATTGTGTGGTTGGGATGTGTTCATTGAATGGTTGAGATGTGTTCATTGAATAGTTTAGATGTGTTCATTGAATGGTTGAGATGTGTTTATTGTGTGGTTGAGATGTGTTTATTGAATAGTTGAGATGTGTTGATTGTGTGGTTGAGATGTGTTCATTGAATGGTTGAGATGTGTTCATTGTGTGGTTGAGATGTGTTGATTGTGTGGTTGAGATGTGTTCATTGAATAGTTGAGAAGTGTTCACTGTGTGGTTGAGATGTGTTCATTGAATGGTTGAGATGTGTTGATTGTGTGGTTGAGATGTGTTGATTGTGTGGTTGAAATGTGTTCATTGAATGGTTGAGATGTGTTCATTGAATGGTTGAGATGTGTTCATTGAATTGTTGAGATGTGTTCATTAAATAGTTGAGATGTGTTCATTGTGTGGTTGGGATGTGTTCATTGAATGGTTGAGATGTGTTCATTGAATAGTTTAGATGTGTTCATTGAATGGTTGAGATGTGTTCATTGTGTGGTTGAGATGTGTTTATTGAATAGTTGAGATGTGTTGATTGTGTGGTTGAGATGTGTTCATTGAATGGTTGAGATGTGTTCATTGTGTGGTTGAGATGTGTTGATTGTGTGGTTGAGATGTGTTCATTGAATGGTTGAGATGTGTTCATTGTGTGGTTGAGATGTGTTCATTGAATAGTTGAGAAGTGTTCACTGTGTGGTTGAGATGTGTTCATTGAATGGTTGAGATGTGTTGATTGTGTGGTTGAGATGTGTTGATTGTGTGGTTGAAATGTGTTCATTGAATGGTTGAGATGTGTTCATTGAATGGTTGAGATGTGTTCATTGAATTGTTGAGATGTGTACATTGAATTGTTGAGATGTGTACATCGTGTGGTTGAGATGTGGTCATTGAATGGTTGTGATGTGGTCATTGTGTGGTTGAGATGTGTTCATTGAATGGTTGAGATGTGTTCATTGAATGCTTGAGATGTGTTCATTGAATTGTTGAGATGTGTACATTGAATTGTTGAGATGTGTACAACGTGTGGTTGAGATGTGGTCATTGAATGGTTGTGATGTGGTCATTGTGTGGTTGAGATGTATTCATTGAATGATTGAGATGTGTTGATTGTGTGGTTGAGATGTTGTCATTGAATGGTTGAGATGTGTTGATTGTGTGGTTGAGATGTGTTGATTGTGTGGTTGAGATGTGTTGATTGTGTGGTTGAGATGTGTTGATTGTGTGGTTGAGATGTGTTCATTGAATGGTTGAGATGTATTGATTGTGTGGTTGAGATGTGTTCATTGAATGATTGAGATGTGTTCATTGAATTGTTGAGATGTCTACATTGAATTGTTGAGGTGTGTTCATTGTGTGGTTGAGATGTGTGCATTGAATTGTTGAGATGTGTACATTGAATTGTTGAGATATGTTCATCGTGTGGTTGAGATGTTGTCATTGAATGGTTGAGATGTGTTGATTGTGTGGTTGAGATGTGTTCATTGAATGGTTGAGATGTGTTGATTGAATAGTTGAGATGTGTTGATTGTGTGGTTGAGATGTGGTTATTGAATGGTTGAGATGTGTTCATTGTGTGGTTGAGATGTGTTCATTGCATAATATGAGAATATACCTGAACCTTTTAGTTTTAGTGCACGAATGTTTCTTGTTTAGAAAAACGATGCGGGCGTGATGAGTTATGCCCAATTTTTTTTATTTAAAATAATGTCCAAAACAGGACATTTTAATAATATATAAGCAGACCATTAGTGACGAAAAACGGAAAGGTGTGAAACAGTCTCCCCGGGATTAGGTTGTCAAACAAACATCTGTGTTATCTCCGCCCTCCAAGGTCCGCCACCCCGGGCCACCCCTCGGGTCATCACTGTCTGC